CGGTGAGGCCACCGCCCTTGGCCCCTCACCGGTTGCGTAAGGCCCGGCACTCACTTCCCCGGTGTCCCTTCCCCCTCCCTTTCCCCGTTTTTTTCCAGATGCCGGCTACGAGTTCGACATTTGCTTCACCTCGGTACAGAAACGGGCCATCCGTACCCTTTGGACCGTCCTGGATGCCATCGATCAGATGTGGTTACCCGTTATCCGAACCTGGCGCCTGAATGAGAGGCACTATGGGGCCCTCACCGGTTTGAACAAGGCTGAAACAGCAGCGAAGCACGGCGAGGCGCAGGTGAAGATCTGGAGGCGCTCGTATGACATCCCTCCACCTCCCATGCAGTCCGATCACCCCTTCTACAGCACCATCAGCAAGGTAAGACTCATTACTCTCTGTCTGCCTGTCTGGGAGGCTCCTAAAAGCCGCCTTAGGTCCCTGCAATGTGGTCTGGCTTCCTCTGCACGGTCTCCTCTGCCTCTGTTGCAGCAGCCAGGGCTGTCGTGTGTGGTGCTGGTTGGCTTTGAGCCGAGTTTGTCCCACTCCCTCCCTGGGGAATTGAACCCCTGCCTGGACAGATTCAAGGCAGAAGGGAACGATACCTCTGTTAATCATTAGTCCCGTGCAACCTGTCTACGGGTGTTTGCTCTGATCTCTTTGCCCAGAGCAAATGATGTTTGGCTTTCCCCAGGAGGGGTTCAGAGCCCTGACCACGGCCTCAAACCTCAAAGGCGCTTCCTTGCTTCCAAGCCTGGCTTTGCCTACATGTAGCAGGTCCCCAGGCAGAGAATTTGGGGTGGGGGGACAAAGGCCCTGCCGCCGCATTCCCACACCACGTTGGGCTGCTGTGTGAGTGTGGCTGTTCCCCCAGGACCGTCGCTATGCTGACCTGACAGAGGACCAGCTGCCAACGTGTGAGAGCCTGAAGGACACCATCGCCCGGGCTCTGCCTTTCTGGAATGAGGAAATCGTCCCGCAGATCAAAGAGGGAAAGCGAGTCCTTATTGCTGCCCACGGCAACAGCCTGCGTGGGATTGTCAAACACCTGGAAGGTACGTCAGCCCTGCAGGGGCATTGCGGGAGTTTCCCTACCACCCCGGCTGTCACTGTGTGAGCAGGGCCAGGGAGTGACGGTGCCTCTGTTTGTAGGCATGTCGGAAGAGGCCATCATGGAGCTGAACCTGCCCACCGGCATCCCTATCGTCTACGAGCTGGACAAGAACCTGAAACCCGTCAAGCCCATGCAGTTCCTGGGGGATGAGGAGACGGTGCGCAAGGCCATGGAGGCCGTCGCTGCTCAGGGCAAGGTCAAGAAGTGAGGGTGGGCAGCAGGCTAGCACGTAGTAGAGCCCCCCGCCATCCCTCACCCCTCTGTGCACACCCCACACAGCTGTAGGAACTTGGAGCTGCGGAGCTGGAGCAGCTCCTCAGGATTAGGCCCGTTCCCTTGGGACCAGGCTCCCCTCTGCAGACAGCCCGGGGCCGCATGTGCAGAGGTCTGGTGTGAAGGGGAGCCCTGGCTCTGCCAGGCTGTGACTGCACACCTCTCCATGCCAAGATCCCAGCCCTCGGGCCTTGTCTGCAGGGGGATGCGCCGAGCGATCCCTTGCCATGCCAGGCTCCTCCTCTGCTTTACTTTCCTGGCAGCTCTTATCATCCGGTTACTGTAGTTTTGTTGCTTGATTTAGTCATCCCGGGAGCAGCGGGGTGAGTGCAGCACAGGCAGCGACCGAGATGGGTACCCCATCCCCTCGTGGGTGCACGGCACGAGGACCAGGATGCGTAGACACTGAAAGGGTTGTATTTTGGTGGCACTTGTGACTCCGGACCTAGTTCTGCCAGCCCCTGCTTTAACTTATTGCCTTTGGCCAAGGGCGAGGGAGGGAGCGGGTCGTAGGGAGGTTCGTGTCCCCCGCAAACATCCCCTAGCGAAGCCCATCCTGGTCCTGCTGGTGAAGCAGGTGCTGTTGTGCCCCATCCCACCTGTGTGTACCCAGCCCTGTCGCTGTGGCCTCCCCCTCCGCCAGTGCCGCGAGCCTGGGCTTGCACGGGGTCAGTGTTACTGTCCGACAATAGCAGCTGTCTTGTTCCAGTTCAATAAAGAGTTAATGCGCAATAACGAGGTGTGGGCGCTTTCCTCCGCCATGTGCTCTGGGGACAGGGGGGTGCGGGGGCCGGGCCGGGCTCCGGGTAGCAAAGCCACCGTGCTGCAATCCCTGCACTCAGTGGTTTACCGGCTCTGGGTGCGGCACGCCCTCGTCCCCAGAGGCAGGCAGGGCACGTGTGGCTGGAGGAGATGTGGCGCCCCAGGCCTGAGCGCAGCCGCAGCTCTACCGGTTTATTGGTGCAAGGAGATGGAGCTGTTCTCCCCGCTCGACACCCAGGCAGGGAAACCAGCCTGGCGAGGCGCGTGCCCGGGGCGCAAACCAGAGCTCCACTGTTCTCCTCACCGCGGCAAAGCTGCCGGGTTGTTCCCCTTCCCCGGCAGCGGGCTGGGAGCACGTGCTTCCTCCCTGCCGTGGTGCTGGGGAAGGTGCCCCTTAACAGCCCCACGATGGGGGCCGGACCAGCGGGCAGCCCCAGCCACCCCACTGGGCCGTAAGCGAACAGAGCACGGAGTGGTCAAAAAATATTTATTATCCAAAAATAGAAAATCCACCCTGCCAGCCAGGGCCCGGCTGGCCCTTCCAGTCTCCAGCACACGTGGGGGCGGGCCCCACAGGCCCCAGCCCCGCAGCCCTGACCCCTGCAGAGCCCCAGCGCCCCCCGGGGGCTGCTAGGTCTGCAGGAACTGGGGCTGCACCCGGGCCACCTTACGGAAGTCCTTGGTGTGTGTCCGCGGGCACTGCATCTCGCACCAGCTGATGGGCACCATCTGCACCCCTAGGGACACCACACGTTGGGGGTTCCCCTTACCAAAACTGCACTCCTCCACGTGGCAAGGGAGGAGGCCGCAGCAGCTGCCCCTCAGGCGGGGATGAGGCAGAACTGCCCGGGCCCTACCTGCCTCGCTGCGTGCCACCACCACGCCCAGCTCGTTCTCCGCCGTGCTCAGCAGGTAGTTGGACTGCGCGTCCCCCAGCGAGATCTGGTCAGGCAGGGGTTAAGGGAAAGGGCCCCCGAGGGGACTCCAGAAAACCCCCTGTCCCCTGCGGGCCCTCCCCTCCAGCAACCCCCGGGGCCCTCCCGGCAGGAGGGGAAAGGATACGACTTTGGCCAGGACTATGTCACCGGGGCGGAAACTCTTGTACACTTCTACCTGCACAGGAGGGAGCGGGAAGACGCCACAGTGTGTCGGGGTGCTCATCAGCTGCGGGGCAAGGGCCCCCCACCAGCAGAAAGAAGGAGCGGGGGCAGCTGCGGTAGCAGTCCCTGGCAGAGCCTCACTGACCTTATCTTTCTCCGTGGCTCGAATATCTTCTCTCCTGAAAAACGAGATGGAGGGATCTGAGCGCCGGTGAGCGAAGGCGACTCCCGGAGCTGCCCCGGCCTCCCTGGGCGCTTGCCAGGACTTGTTGGACACCAGCCCAGTGCTCGGGGCAGAGCTCCTGCCAGGGCAGGGAGCCTTCCTCCCCCCACGAGGACGGGGTGCTCGGGCACCCCGGCTCCTGGGGAACCCATCCCTCTCCCTACCGTATGGTCCCCCGGAAGGTGGACTTGAGTGGCGTGGAGCCGACGTACAGGATGTGCACCTTGGCGAAGCGAGAGTTAATGCTGCAAACCTGCCCGGAGGAAAAGGGGGATCAGTGCCAGCGGGCTCCGGCAGGCAAAGGGCAGGGTGCGCGGGCGGGGAGCTCCCATCTCACTTGGCCGCCTCCCCCTCGTGACCAAAGTAGCTGGCGGGGCGCCCGGCAGCGAGCCAGGCGAGGAAGATGATACTCGTGCAACTCAAGACACGCGAATAAGGCCGAGACCTGCTGCGACCCCAGTCCCAGCCCCACCATCAGGACTGTAAGGAAACCGATCCCCAGCCTGCGCCTCCCTTTCTCCAAGCTGCCCCAGGCTCTGCCCTCCACGCACCCTGCCCCCAAAAGAATTCCGGAAGGGAGAGCAAAGAAAATCCTCCCCTCAGCCCACCTCCGCCTCGGGCGGGCGGCATGGGCAGGGAATGCTGAGGGGCAGGCGTGCCCCATGCCAGTATGCGGCTTCTTTGTGAGCGAGGGACCCCAGGGAGCCACCGGGCTGCCTCTGCCCTGCTGGAAGCCGCAGCGAGCCTGGGGCTCCTCATCCCAGGAGCAAAGGCTGGCGTGAGGCAGAGAACGAAGGCTGGGCAGTGCGCCATGGCGGCGCGCTCCGTGGCCCTACCTTGCACGTCACCACGGCCCCCACGTCGG